CCTTTATATTTGTTGATGCTTTATTGAGCAATAGTTCTGCTCTGCAGGGTTTGGTTTAAAAAACCATCATATTTCCTGTTGCACGACTTGTGACACAATGAGACCGAGAGTCCACAGTCACATTAGCAGCTCTTTGTGTATGTGCGTAAGCCAAGTGAGCTGAAAGCTGGTGTCTGCATGCTAACATCCTTACAATTACTCAGCTAACACACTGATATTAAGATGTTCAATATCTTCACTTAAAACATCAGGGGAAAATGAATCCCTCCTATAGTTGCTCAGATATTTTAAGTTGCAGCAGTCAAATCAATAGTTTGCTGGACCATAGGAGTGGAGCAGCAGACTGACATTAGCGTCCCAGAACCACACCGCTAGCATGTCTAAAAATGAGGTGACAGATGGTCAGACCGCCTCTCTTTTAAATGAAGAGACGTCCTTGCAAAGACATTTCACTGCTCCCTTCTGTGCATTGTTTAGAATTTGCTTAGCAAATTGACAAAAAATACAGCAGAGGCTTTAAGTGTATGCAAAGTCACATGTGCCTGTGACCTACACCACAAGAGCACAAGATGTCAGCTTTTTGCTCAATGTGTTTTTGACACATCAGTGCCGAACCTGATGATTAAAATGTGGTCGCCATAAAGACAATTGACAGTTTAAGAAGTCTCAGAAGTGTGGCACTGATCACTTTTAACTTTTAGACTCTAACTAAATAGTTGAGACAGCAGGATGGGGCTAGGGTGTATACGCACAACCTGATTTTGTGGCTGGAAGCCAACTGGTTTCAGTTTCTAGTTTGACCAATCACGATTGAGCATGCTTTGGTTTCCGTGAGTAAACAGTCTGTGTGGAGAGCAAAAGAGACGGAAAACATTCACCGAAATACATCGGCTATCAGCTTTTTAATATATCTTCATTCATAGGCAGAAAGATAGATAGAGATTAACCAAAATGTCGCCTGTACTACAAAAAGTATTGCTGTTTATTTTGTGGACAAAGGAGGACTTTTGCAATAAAAGAAACTAGTCGGCCTGTAGACAGTGTTTGTCAAGTCTTGCAAAACAGCCAAAACGAGTCCCATGTATTCTTCTCCTTTGAGGGGGATGTTTCGGCACACAGAATGGCACATATGTTTAAAGCATCACATTTCTCTTTTGCTAGCATTCGCTATCAAAAAAAAACTTCTACCACCACTGTCCAGGCTCCTGGGAAATCATATTCATATCTGACACACTAAATTCATCACTTCCATAATATCTACTACTACTTCCTGCTGGGATGTAGGCACAAAGTCTATTCCTTTTTTTTCACAATAAATTTAATTTCATTCTAATTTGCTCATTTCCTTTGTTTCTTCACACATTTCTCCCGGTTGTAATAATCACACAGAGCCAGTAGTCCCAGCTGACGCATTGCACAGATATTAAAATGTAAAAGGCTGAAGAGGGAGCCTGAAGTTGAGATAAGGGGGAGACGACAAGAAATTCATAAGCACTTGATCTGTGTTGTAAGAAGCAGCAGAAAACCATCGATGGACATTTAACCTTAAAATGTGTGTGAACTTTGTTCTTCAGAGAAGAGCTTGAAGCAGCTCTGATAAGGACATGGTTCGGATTATATTGCACCATCTCTGCCACAGTATCTGTCTGCAAGGGAGGTGTATTATGATTTCTGACATTTCTTACTTCAGTAATTAGGCTTTTGCTTAGTGGTTTTATTACTACTATAAAAAAAATCTTTAAAAAGACAGATGTGCATGTAATAATATACTGCATACACATTTACTGTTTACAACTACATTTGGATGCCCATACAAAATACCGTGTATTCATTTTTACTCATAAATATGTGCTCCAAAATATAGCTGAAATATTTGTACTTAGTAAATGAACACATGGTTGTATTTTCTACTATAATGGAATAAAATGCATTCATAAATTCCCATAAGTGCTCCATTATAACCACTGGTACAGTGTTGCTTTTTACCAGTCAGGAATTTTGAAATGTAGCTGCACAAGTATTCAACCCCATTTACTCACTCAGCCTGAATTGTTTCGCAGGCAAAAACATTTCAGAACATTCATTATTCATACGTCATCCTCAGATTCCAGATTACTTTGATTTTATCTGTCTTACAGGGAGGGAGGCTCAGGCCTGTACCGACTCAGGCTTTTAGACTTTCACGGGTGAGTCAACTGTCACTGATAAGTGAAATATTCTACACAGACGTCACAGAATATCCTACACGCCAGCATATTTTATAGCACAGTGAATGGTAAACCTGAGCTTTTTAAAGATTATGTGATTGACGTGTTTCTGGAGGAGTTAGAGCCAAAGTACATCTCTGTGTTTTACCACATCAAATTTCACCAGAGGGGTGGGGGTGAGCTGGTAACTGCTGGTTTAGTCATGATACAGTTAATGAACTACAAACATCTGGCAGAATCATTCATAAAATGTACAATGCTCTACATCGCCAGATGTTCTGCTTGTGTTTACAACTTGATCTCTCCTATTTATTGCTGAATTTCTATCTAGCAAATGTCTTTTTAAAATCAGTTTACACCTCTATGTATTTTGTATTTCTCATCGTTCCCATTATGTATTATCTTGTAACTTGCTTTAATGAATGAAATGTAGTATAAACAGTAAAAACCGTTGCTAGTTTCATGTCTAATTCATGATTTAAGCATATAAATGTCAGTCATGACAGATGGAATGCACTTTCACTTCCACTTTTTGTATAATTTCAAAGAAAAGTCTGCAACACTGAAATCTCAGCCCCCCCTCGGTCTCCTCTCTCCCTGCCATTACTATGGGCACACGTGGGAAGGTGGGTGGCTACAGCACTTAAGCTCTATAGTAGCCATTACAAAAGAATTCCATAATGCCAGGATATCTGATACAAAACCAAATACAAGTTGACTTATACAGCCTGTAAATTAATGGCAGCAGTGGCAGCTGTAGATGAACCTTCTCTAGATTTACTAAAGTTTTTGTGCAACTTTTATTAACCAATATGACAAAATGTGAAGCTTAATATGGAGGAAAGTGTGAGTAGGCTACTGGAACTATATGTGTTATGTGGGCTGGACAATATGGCCAATAATTATCCCAATAAATGTCAAGTTTAAATTCTGATGGTTGTGGTTTCAAATTCACCAGAAAATGACAAACACAAGATAAACAACAAAACATTTTACAAATCTGAAGCAGATAAATGATGTGTTACACTTTCTCACTGTACTTGCACAATGCATAAACAATATATTGATCCTTTGTTAAATTTCTCCAGATGAAGATTGTATTGTGATTATTATTAAGTGGTAATGTTTTTGTCTGTGTTTGTTTGTTAGCAGGATTATGTGAAAGGGTGGGTTGGGCATGACTCTGGATCAGGGGTCATATCCAGGTTTTTTCTTCACTTTCTTAATGATAGGGCATTTTTTTGTTTTGTTTTGACAATTCTGTAGATTTCTCAGAGATCCAGATCTTGTGGATTCAAATGTGGTGTCATGAGGGGACTGTGGGCCTTGGCGGGGGTACACTTTTACTGAGTGCCATTGTAGTTGATTGTTTTATTGCTTACTCTCAAATGTGACACATCTTATGGAAAACATTCAATTTTGAATTTGAACCGGTTTGCATTCATTTTCAGTTTCACCATGTAGTGAATATATTTTTAGAGAAACATGAATCATTTAGGAATAAAGGATTTGTCTTCAGAAATGTGGGAAGGCCTTTGAGCAGCAACCCAGCAGCTGGTGAACCTTACACCTGATATCTTGCTGGAGGACCTTTCAGCAGCTTGGAGAGGAGGCAGGGTGGGGCTGATTGTAAGAAGCTACTTCCTATGTGGAGATGGTCAATGATGAGCGCTAATGTGACACATGGATGTCAAATCTGCTTGCATCGACATGTATTGAACCTTTTTTATACTGCTGAAAATTATATTGTTATAAGTTTTACCTCCACAAAGGAGGTTTACCAACCAGCAGCTGGTGAACTTCAGCAGCATGGAGAGGAGGCAGGGTGGGGCTGATGATGGTGGGGCTGAAGATGGAGGGGCTGAAGATGGTGGGGCTGAAGATGGAGGGGCTGAAGATGGTGGGGCTGAAGATGGTGGGGCTGAAGATGGAGGTGCATGGGGACAGGTTGAAACTGTCTGTGTAAGGTACTACCTCCTATGTGGAGATGCTCTATAATGAGCACTAATGTGACACATGGAAATCAAATATGCTTGAGTTTTATTGATATTGAACCTTTGTTATACTGCTGAAAATTATATTAAGATAATTTTACCTCCGCCAAGGAACTTGTTCCTGTCTGCGTTTGTTTGGCTGTCAGTTAACAGGATTGTGCAAAACCTCCTCACTCTATTTTCATGAAATTTTGTGGATCAGGGGGCTGATCAATGAAATTGGCGAATAAGTACTGAAATTAGAAAAAAGGTTTTGTCTTCAAAAAAGTGGCCAGGCTTTTTGAACGGCAGCTGCTGAACCCTACAACCTGGTGCCTTGCTGGAGGGCACTTTGGCAGCATGGAGAGGAGGCAGGGTGGGGTTGATGATGGTGGGGTTGATGATGGTCGGGGTGATGATGGTGAGGTTGATGATGGTGGGGTTGATGATGGTGGGGGTGATGATGGTGAGGTTGATGATGGTGGGGGTGATGATGGTGGGGTTGCTGGTGGTGGGGGTGATGATGGTGGGGGTGATGATGGAGGTGCATGGGGCAGGTTGGAACTGTCTGTGTGTAAGAGGCTCTGTGATGAGCACCGTAATGTGACACATGGAAATGAAAGCTGCTTGGCTGTAGCACGAGGCTGCTGGTTAAACGCGCTTCAATCCTCCATGGCAACGTCGCTGTGGGTTCGATAGGGAGCGGGATTGGTCAACAGCGGCTGACCGCGCCCTCCACCCATGTAAGCTACCTACCCAACTATTACCACCAAGTGTCGAGGGAACGACGGCTCTGCTGCCGCTGCTGTCTGTGCGGCGGAGGAGAGAGAGCATCTTTGTCTGTGCGGAGCAGCAGCAGCAGCTTCCCTGTCCGCCGCCTCCTCCATCGACACATCTGAGCGATAAGAAGACTATTCTTTGTGAAGGCAAAGGTCGCACTGTTCCTCCGCCGCATTCATCTCTGGCAGCCGCTGGATTTTTTTTCTCTCCTTCTTCTTCTTCCATCCCTCTCTCCGCGTGTCTCTCTTTTCTCTCTGCCTGACTGGAATAACCAAACCCCGTCATCGCGGAGGCTCCGTCCATGTGTTGGATCGCTGGATGCTGCACAGGTAAACGCACACCTCCCACACACAGACGACCTTATGCATGGAGGTAATGAGCTTTACAGCATCCTGCGGTAGAATAGCTGACAATAGAGCCAGTGTGTGTGTGTGTGTGTGTGTGTGTGTGTGTGTGTATGTGTGTGTGTGTGTGGAGCTCCTCTCCATGTGTGCTTTTCAATGTCAGTGTTTGTTTTTCCAATGTTCAGCTCCTGCTCCTCAGATTATTGCCACTTTCTCTTGAGGTTTTCTTTGTTGGGATCTCACTTCATTCAGAGAAACGATCACACCTCACCTTTCTTTGTCATTAGTCAGTGGAGGTGGATGGATGGATGGATGGATGGATAGATGGATGTGATGGAGGAGAGCCTTCCCAAACCCAACACGGTTAATTGCGTGCCGGAAGACATGCCCTGTGGTTGGGCTACATCACCTACATTGGTGGCGTTGGCTTTGAATAATAAAGGAGCTGCAGCCCAGACACAAATATGGAAACCAGCTACATATAATCCAGTGTTTGATTGAGGATTTTCAGATGCTGCGTGATAGTGGGCTATTATAAATTTACAGTATATAAAAGTGGAAGTTGAGGTGGTTTTGAGTCATGCAGCATCCAGGGCCCTTGTCTCTGAGATGCTCGAGGTAGCGTATTTATTATTGAGAGGGATTTCTTGTTCGGTGCCAGAGGATTGGCCAGTTTAAAGATAGGAAAGAGGGGAGACAGACAGAGGGAGAGAGGAGGGAGGGGGGAGAACAGGAGTTGAGTCAAGAAGCTGCCCCATCATCTGCAACACAGGCTGCAAACCCCAGACAGCTTTGTATTTATTATCCGTAAAATCAGGAGGGAACTTATGAGCTGGAAAAAGAAAAATGTTCCCCAACTTGAGGGATGAGATAATGTTTCGTAAAAAGCCGCACACGCCTCCACTCAGCAGATTATATGGCAGCAGTTCAGGGGGGGTGACCACTGAGGACATGGTGTCACAGCAAAGCTTGGCCTCAAATATATAGACCGTTCAGTCAATGTACAGAACAGCATGTGGATGAATGTGAATGAACAGAGAACAGAGGGAGGTAGATTGCTTAATCCTTGTCTTTTGTTCTGTGGGTTGCGTAAATTGGTGTGTGTAATTTAAATATTATAATTTCATTCAAAATTTTCTTTGTTTGACTGACTTTAATGTGAAGTGGCAAAAAGCAAGGTGCATGGACCTACAGCCTCATACTCTCCACATATATTCAATTCATTTATCGCAGGGAATTTGCCCAAGATTCTGAGTATATCTCGCTGCCCTCCCTGCAGCTCCTGTACACCATATTTGTTTTGCAAATTTCTCTCTCAACAGAAACACAGTAAGATTTGTCGCTAAGCTTCCTGTGTATGGAAAGTGGAATCTGTATTCACAGTACAGGTGTACGAGCACTGCCAGCCCGGATCACCTGAATTAGGTGACCGTCTTTGCTTGGCTGCTGCACGCCATGTTCCGGCGCCTCATGTGGACAGCACACAAGTGTTGCGTCTCAGATCTGTTGCATGTTCCCTCATTAGCACTTGCTGTTTGGCTGCACTCTTAAATCCCTGCTGGTTCGGCTGACAGACTCATTTAAATGCTATTGCATTCTGTAGTGAGCCACTTGGCTTCCTAAATGAGAGCCATGTTGACGACATGGAAGTCCTGGCTTGCAGTGCTCCTGACATGAACAATGTACTGAGCAATGCTGAGTGTGGCGACTTTTTGTGCATATAGTGTTGTTACGGTGATATTTTTAGACAGCAGGGCAACAGCAGGGTGTGTCACAGTCTTGGCTTTTTGTTTTCTTTTTGTTAAACCGCGTTTTATTTTCCCTCAGTCATGCTTCATTTATATTTGCATCTCAGTCCAATTTCCGTGTTTATTTTTGTTTCTTATCAGCTCTATTTTGACACAGGATGTGCTGCGGCCAAGATTTTTCTCACCACTCAGAATATTTGGTGCCTTCAGTGCCATCTTTACCACACTCGTGTTGCTACGATCTGACTCATATGACATCTGTCTCTATCACTCCTTCCCTTGAGATGTAAGTGTTTGGGTCGTGTTAGCAACACAAAAAGAAAATGGTGTCACTGCTGCCACGGCAGCATCTAAACCAATACTAGGAATACTAGTAGTGTAATATTATGGCCCCTAATGGAATTAAGCTGTGTGGTACATCTTGTTACTTCACATTCAGCTTAATATTTGAACTTCTTTAAGTAATTATCTCTTAAAGCTGCACTTACGTGACTTTCCCTTCAGCATGGCAGCTGCTTTGAATGAAAAGGAGCTAATATTTGGAATTAAGATATCTCCCACAAAGCACCAGCCAATATGCAAAGAGAGATGGATGATTAGATGACATGAAGGAGGAGACTGCTTGAAATAACGACAGGGTACAGTTGACATGGTGTGTGCGTGTGTGTGTGTGTCACAGCTCAATAGCTTCAGCATGCATACTGTGGAAGTGGAAGGTTACAGATATTGTGTGGCATTGCGAATCGTGTCGCTTCCTCTCTATCATACCACATCAAGGTCATATCCACAGACTGAAAGTGGTGGCCCTGGCCTTTTCCACTCCTGGCTCTGGCAGAGAAATGGGGCCCGCGGACCACTGCTGCTTCTAATCAGGGCTGACGCGTGACTCAGTTGCATGCCAGCTGCACAGCCAAACAGGGATTATGTCCCTGGATGGTGAAGACAAAAAAAAAAAAGGTCATTGTTGAGATATTTGTCTCTTACACCTTTGGCGAGTTCGGGTTATTTATTTATTTGTGATTTTGTTGTAATGAAGTTTGCTCAAGTGACAGAGACGATACATAAGTGGAATCCTGCACATAATACAAGTCATATAGCTGCGAGCCCTGGAGTCAGAGTTGTCACAAAAGCAGCGCTGTGTTGGTTACAGTTTTACAATATAGGTCATTGTACTACTCGTTTTTAAGAGTTGCAGGAATAATGTAAAACAGTAAGAAAGTCCAGAAAAAAAATTTGTGAAATTTTACATTCCATACTATGGAAAGTGATTTGGGAAGCTCGATCGATATTGTTATAAATCTGTGAAATAATTGTCAGCGAACTGCCAGTTATTTCCTCCACAGGTGGCAGAGTAGGTAGAGTGTAGAGGAAGGAGGTCTATAATTTTCTGCAAGAAGAATGCTACTCAGGATCCAGCAAAGGTTGGTACATGAGAGCCTGTCAGAGCGACTGAGGCGGTGACAGCTGTGATTCATTTAATATGTGCATGACAAAAAAACACACCACATCAAATTTGAGCTTAAGACAATGCAGCCATTTTGGAGAATGAAAATTGTTTCTTGTTGTATTTTATTCTTGTACGTAATATGGCGAGCTGCCATTAAGGAACAGTATGGCTAACTCAGTAGTATTACACAATGTAAAATATCCTGTATGTGATTTCAGTGCAAGGAAAATCGAATTTTAGATATTCACCTCTGCCAAGGAGGTTATGTTTTTGTCTGCATTTCTTTGTTGTCAACGGTATTATTACAAAATCTGCCGACCAGATCATAGGGCCGATCTAGGATTTAATTTCTCTTTTTTTAACGTAATGTTTTTAAACATTTTTGTTGATTTGTCAGGGAATAATTCATGGATCTTGATGAAAACAGATCAGACATGTTTGGGGGACCGATATTTATCAGCATGTGCATTTTGATGAAGATCTAAATAGAAATCCACATCTAGCAGCTTTAAATGTGATTCATAGGAGGGTAGGCTTTTTTTCCTGCACCTGTACGGTAACATATTTGGCTAGAAAGCTGTAACTACCAGCAATGTGTAGCCTTGGCGGTTGTTTCTGCTCTACCCAGTGTTATTCTAGTTTCAGTTATGAAGTCAGGACCCAGCTTACGCAGCTCAAGGATCAGCTACTGTCAGTTTTAGTATTGATTAAAGCACATTTGAGTACAGCAGAAACAAGTGTTATCTCCCACCATGTAGAATCACAGAGCTTTTAAAACTGTTGACACCTCAGTTTCCAATCAGTCTCTGTTCTTGATAAAAGCTTTGTCTACACAACTGCAAATATATATATATATTTTAAATATTTCTGCCTACACAAGAAAAACTACAAATGCTCAAACAAGCATGCCAGTCCAGTTGGTGGTGATTAAGTCTACATCAATATCAATATCAGTGAAGAATGTAAGTAATAATGGCCACAGCAGATGCCTGTGAATACCGGTAATGTCATTCAGCAATGCAAAATTTTGCTGCAAACTTGTAATCAGACCTAGCTGTATAAACCAAATGTAGAGAAAACCAGTTTATAGCCACGATCGTTGTTATTTCTGGTGCATTCTTATCACACAAGCAACTGTGGGCTTATATGAAGTAAGCTCTGGCATTATCGTTAACCAAACGTTCCCTTTTACATGTACGCACAGCTATAAGAAACCACACTATGTAAAAATTGTTTGTGTGTAGACTAGAATCTTTTGAGGATCAGAAATATTACAAGAGTCAAAAAATCAACTAATATAAATGTTTCAAAACCACCGTTTATTAACTTTGCACAGTCTTTTAATTTGATCTAAAATAGCACACAAAATAATTAGCTGTTAGAGAGTGTAGATAAAAGCCCCTGAAGGTGATATTTATAATAAGCATTCACTATTACACATCAGTTACCTGACCCAAGAGCTAAAGAGAGCTGGCTTTTGTCTTTCTCTTTCATTCAGGTTTCTTCGGCGTATTCAGAAGTCTTGCATTACATTGCAAATGTAGGCATTTAAACTCATCCGTCTTTGTTATTGTGTGACAGCATTGGAAAAGTTGACGAAGTCGAAACTGCACTGTTAACCAAAATGTGCCCAGGCAGCATAATCAGTGCCCTTAGAGGTACAAAACACAATATCACCCTGTCAGGCTATACATAATGCAGTTACAATACTCAAAGGACAGCAACGCAACGAAGCCTAAACACACAGCGATGATATAGAAGTTCTATAGGTTGTAAAACATGCTCTAGGT